TGATGTGTTATCTTGCTGGCCCATAAAGCCAAAAGTTTTGTACCCTGCTTAAAGATGTTTTCAGAATTTTCTCAAGCTACCACCTATAATTTTTAAAAATTAACTCCTTTTTTACAGTAAACTCATTTGTTGAACTTGGCCAAACTTTATTGGATTCCCCCCAACGTAACGTTCCTGCTGAGTGAGAAATTCAACCAGGATCCGCTGGAAAATTACTTTAGTAAACAGAGAGGTGCTGGAGGAAGATGCGAAAATCCAACCCTAGCACAGTTTGGGCATAATATGCTTGCCCTGTATGTTGATGCAGACTGTGCAAAAGCGTCCAAGAGGGGCAATAGCCGAGCAATAGAGAAACCAATTAATCTAGATGACACTCCATTGCCAAAGAGGAAGTAAATAGAGAACTGCATGTTTCTTTAATAAGGACAAAAAAATTTTTTTTTTGCCCTCCCAGCTCGCATCTAACTCAATGCACAAAATAGGGGCGGAAAACCAAAACAACTTTTTTTTTTTTAGCTTTTTTTAAAAAATTTTAAAAAACAATTTTAAGTGAATTAATCTTTATTTTTGGCCAAATGCCCTTCAAAGTTGTCTGATGTAAGATATTGCCATTCTAGGCCTCTGTGTGGTATTTTTATTCCATCAGATGAGTATTTAAAAAAAAAATAAATAAATAAAAATTTATATTTTTGGGCCTGATTCATCACACACAAATACTGTACCCTCAAGTTTAAATTTAAACAGTAAGTACGACTGTATAGTTGTGCAAGTACAAATTAAATATAAGTTATTGTGATGATGGAAGTTTCGATAAGTGCATTACATTTTCTGTATTTCCTTCAAAATTTAAACCCATGATTTAATACCATCACTCAAATCTGAGTTGATTAATGTAAAAATTATGGTGGTAATAAATGCGAGTGATAATGTACTTATTACACTGATTATTTACTGCATATGATTCCTCTATGAATGTATATGCACAACTTTAATGAATGACTTCAAGATACTGTTTTGTAAATTAATTTTTGTTTACAATGATAGAATTCATTATTAAAATCATTAATACTGCAGTATACACTTCCATTTTGAAAAAGAATCTAGGCATATTTAGGTACAGTACTGTATGCCATTGAATATAGCACACTCATATTTATTTTATTGTAAAATATATAATATTCTTCCCAGTTGCAAATGGACTGTATAGGTATTCCATTGGACCGGTATGTCATGGACTGCATTATATTGCTTTAATTACAGTATTCATTAGCCAAAATAAAATATAATGGTCATTCTTTGAATTCTTTTCATTTGTTATCTTCCTTTTTCTGTGTGTGCATACAATGAAGTCTCCAGCTCATGTTAACCAGTTCTAGAAATTGCTGCTATTATCTGTGCTAAATTTTATTGAATGTCCAAACTTCAAATTTGGTTCAACATATCATACAGTACATACTCAAAGTAAATAATATTAAATAAATGTTGGCGTGACATCTGCACATATACAGCATTGTAATTACCAGAGGAAAATGACAGATGCAATCATGGAATGCCAACACATCTTTTCAAGATTTAATACACTTACAGGTCTTTGCGAAGGGCCTTTGAAGATTTTCCAGACACTTTCTTTCCCTCTGCCCTCTTCAAATCTAAGTAGACTTTCAAAAATGCATTTGTTCTAATTTTAACCCATAACTTAATTAAAACATCCAATAAATTCTTCGATATATCCCAAACTAACTTGTTTTCTGTAATATTGCACCAGTATGTGTGAACCAAGTGATTTTCTGCTATGCTATATATAATACACGACTTCATATCTTTGTTTGGCAATTCGTTCATTCCTGTTACTGTTAAGTGTTTTCTTGTTTCATTTTCTAATGTCCTAAAAAATAAATATACGTTATCCTTGATCTCAAATAATCCCCCTCGAATTTGTTTTCTCAACCATCCATTTGTGTATTCCAGAAACTTCCTAGAATTATCTGTCCCTTTGACTTTCCAATTGCTAAGCAGAGTGCAATACACTTTGGCCGTTTCCCCTTCCACTTTACTATACCTTTTATGCAGGGCATACGGATAGCCAGCTGTGTATCTAATGACTTCTTCTGTACTTTTTTCCAAATGGTTTACTTCTGCATTCTGCTTCCCGGGCAAGTCTGCAATATTTCTGTCAGCCATGATCAGCCTGAGTAAAGTTCTTAAAAGGAAGTGATGTACATGGTCATTGGGAGTTAAATTTAACTACTGAAGAAAATTTGCCCATTGTTGTTTACAGGAACTACATGTTATATACAAATGATATTGTCGGTAAACCAATTCATTGGCTTCAGGCTTTATTTTCTTTTTATCCCCTGCAGTGACTATGACCCAAATTTCTTTCACTAAGTCCTGGGAAAATGCATGTACGATCGGTGATGCAATTAGGCCAAGCAATGTTGATGCTAGGGCTCCAGCAGCCAATGCTGCTGGGAATCCAGTCTTGTAAACAGGATGATTTACTAGTTCATTTAATGCTGTTCCTACATACGTTGTAGCATTTGCAATGGCGTCTTCCATGCTGAATTTCATCTCTGGGCGAGCGATAGCTGCAAATATATATAAAAATAAATTGTATTACATTGACACTGAAGATTTATGTAGCACATTTAAATGATTTACTGATTTTGCTTCAGAAACTTACCTTGTTTTCTGGGTTTTCTTTTTGGCTTTTGGGTCTTTCTTCTTCATCTTGTCTTTTTTTTTACTTTGATTTTTTTCTTCTCTTCTGAGGAAGTGTCACATGCACCTGAAATGCAAACAGCAAAAGAATAATTTTTAATCTGATTTTAAACATTTCTAGCCTAGGCTTATCCTACTCAGAATCCTACTTACTAGCCTAGGCCTGTGAAAGTATCCTACTACTACTACTTTACGAAAATTCCCCTAGGCCTAGGCCTGTCCTACCTTATTTTATACATGGACCCTGACATGGCATAGGCCTAGGTAGATAAGTAGGCTACTAGCCTACTACTATAGTAGTGTAGGCCTAGGCCCTAGTGTAGGAAGGGTAGATGGGCCTTCAGGAGTGTTAGTCGTTGAGCATTATTATTTCCTTATAGCCTACCCCACTTATTATAGCTAAGGATATGTTAGTGACAATGTGGCCCAACATTAGCGCTCGCCTAGGCTAGCCTGCGACCAGATTGGCTGAGTAGAGAAGGTGACGTTGGCCTACCATAACCATTGGTGGAAATCGGCGTATTTTCAGTCGACGCTCCTCCGTTATTCCCGCAATCTAGATGGGTATTTTCAACCTCATCTTCTTCCTCAAACTCAAATTCTACGTCTGGTAGGTCATTCAACTCAAATTCTTCATCTAATAAGTCATAGTCATCATGACCTTGGTTGAATCTCAATTTGCAATCGTTCGTAGTAGTAGTAGCCATGCTTGCAACAAAACATCGAGAAAGATAGTCTCGCGCGTCAAAACATAAATCTGAGCATGCGCAAACTAGTCTCTGTCGGCAGCTTGTAACTACGCATGTGCAAGCATGGTGCAAGCATAGAGCAAAGAAACAGAAGGAGATGCAACAAGCTTAGATCAAAGGTACAGAGTATTTTGCCGCGATCGCAATTAATCTTGCTGTTATGTAATATACTTGACTAGTAGATAAGCTAAAATCCACAATCGCGCATGCGCCGGGAGCTCAACACCAGACGGCGGCTGCGCGAAGACTAAAATCATTGATGCATACGATCATACACAACGAGCAAAGCTAAAGTTAAAGAAACACGAAAAAAGCTAAGAAGCAGGCTTGACGTGGTGATAAATTATTGAAATTAATTAAATTAGTAACAATTACCATAGATATAATCACTTATCAGTTATGGATAATGAGGATTTTAGTGATTTTTTCGACGATGAATTTGATGTAAACGATCTACCACCAGTCGATTTTGAAGAAGACGATGTAGGCCTAGGTCTAGAAAATGTACGCCAGCAATACTGTGTTTGTTTGCAGCCGGGGACTACAGATATGATTCTCTACAACAAGCCTTGCAAAATTCAGTGGTTTCATCGTAATTGCATTGAGATGAAAGTACCTGAAGCAGATTGGATATGTAGTCGTTGTAACCCAGAAATCGGGAAAGGTGTGTAAGCTTCTTGTCAACTATAATTATCCCAAATAATTATTTAGGCAACAGAACGAATGAATAATGAATGATGAAATGAAAACGAGTGTCTGTTGCTTCTCTAGGCCTAGGCTAGCTAGGCTAGTGAATAGAGCAAAGATTCTTTGCTCTATGGCTAGTGTCAGTGAAGAAGTAAACCCTAATTGGTGGGTCTAGCGAATTAAAAATACTGTATTTATATTTCTCAATTATAAGTTTGTGGTTGGTGAATTAATATCATTAAAAAATATCTTTGTTTTATTTTCTGCATCTTTTTTCTTGTACAGATATTTCTAGTACAACATACAAAAAGGATAAGGCCAAAAAAATACCAGCCAAAAGTAATCGTAAAAAATGTAAGTTTAACTAGTGTTGTCCGAAAACTATGGTACTATTTTTGACTGTTTACGTTTTAGCTGTTGCTCATTAAATTTTTTCTGAATTCTGTAAGAGTGTGCATCCCTTTTTTTTTTAATTATTAAAACAATTAAAAATACATTCTTTGTTTTCAGCGGTTGAAAGACCAACTGTTAAGTTTACAAAAGATGATGCAATCAGCAACGGTCAACCAAAGGTATATTTGCTTTTGGCATTACAGGAGGTAAAGGAGCATCTCGTGTATACAGCACCATACCCAACATCAATACAAGTTTTAGATCTTTCCACCAAGCTGCTCCAACATGCAGATTCCAAACAGTTTACAGGCTTTGCATTAGATATTGTAACAGACTTTTGGGACATTGTGACAGCTGGGGACAGTAAAAAAATAAAACCAGAGGCAAATGAAATGGTCTGTCGTGTTTTTCACCAGTACACACTGTCTGGTGGTGTCAAATGAAAGAAATTTATGGAATCATTAGACTTGAATACAGAATGCCAGCATATTGGTTCATTAAATCACTTTGTAATGAGAACTCTGCTAAGTTTAATTCTGACAGATCGCCATGACAAGGACATGCCAAAGCCCAAGGTGCAAGAACCCAAACCTCTGGACCAAAACGAAGAACAAGTTGTTCGTTATGTAGCGGGTTATGTGCCTTATGCACTCTTGAAGAAATTTAAAAGATTTTCCAATTTAACTGCAAAAACATATTGCAAGTTCTTGTCAGCATGGAAGGTTAATGGTTCTGACACCACCCACTCATTTTTGGACTATTCAAAACTTTGGATAGCTAAGCAAAGTAGGGGTGGATTATTTAATGTTATTGATGATGTTTATTTATTTTTTAGAACTTTAGAGAATGAAAACAGAAAATACCTGACAATCAGTAGATTGAATTCAATGCCAAATGCCAATGTTAAGGACATTATTATGAACACAGTACTAGAAAATGCAACAGTACACAAGTACTGGTGTAACCTAACAAGAAATAAAATTGTTGGTGATGCATCTAAACATTTACTCGATATAGTAATTAGGTTGTGGATTAAAATCAGGATGCATGCAAGGTTTATCTAGACTTAAAGAAGGCAAACAGTAATGAGATTTCAAGAAAGTCTGAAAAAGCACTGCGAAAAGACTTGTAAACATAGAGCAAAGAAACAGTTGTAACAATGTACTAAATTAATCATGTAAATAGTGAAATGCTACGATGGTTATACAATTAATGTGCAAAAAATACTTCCAACAAGTTATGTTACTTCTTTTCTGTAGAGATTGTTTTGTTATTTAACAATGCAATGTATAAACACTCCGTTGTTCTAAAATAGAAGATCTGTCTCTAAATAGCCAACAATGTTTTCATCCAGGACAAGAACCTCTTATAGTCATCAAGGGTGTGGTGTGACAATAAAATGTATTCGAACAAAATAATCCTTAAATTATTAAACAAAAATAAATGTTGTCATAAAAATTCTATATCTGACAGCTTTCAAGTTTTTTGAATAAAAAAAGGAATATTTTAGCAATAGTTTAGCAGCTATATAATGACATCAATTCCAGCATTAAATAAGCCTTTTCTAACTGCGCATGATCGTATTAAGGTCATAGAGCTCTATCGACATAAACACCACGTATACAATACTGTAGGTGTATGTCAATTGACATAGTTGGAAATGTGAAATGGCTTATTATTCTTAAAATACTAATAAAATAGATATTTAACTAATTTTATGTACAATAATATAAAACTCTCAAGGCAATTACACATAAGATAGTATAATACATGCTCCAAGTATTCAAATGCACGAAATCGTGAATAGATTCAACATTTCGGCATCAATTATGTCAGACATAATTAATGCCGCAATAGTGAATCTATTCACGAAAGCGTGTCTTTCAATACTTGGAGTACGTACTATTCTATCTTACCCGAGACTAATCAGTGGGCCTTTCGGCAATTACACATACATGGTGCAAGCAAGTTTGTCTCCCGTTACATAACATAGCGATTAAGTCGTGATTTACCGACTTCTTATCAGTGCGGTGTGTCACTCTGTTTCTTTGATCTTAGTATCGAAGAAACTCCTTTTTTTCCCTCCATGATTACAGCAAGCGTTGTGTTAAATTTGATTCGTTTTAATTTCGTAAAACGAAAATGTGCATGGGTTCTACTCAACTGGACGGAGACAAATGAGTTCCTGGACGATTCAATTGTTCCAGAGATAAAATAAGGTTCGAGGAAAACTGATGGAGAATATGGAGACCCAAAGTTAACAAGAACCCTCCAAGAAAAATGTCTGAATGGCGTACTGTATTCAAGTGTTGGGCGCTAATGCATAAGTTCACCTCATCCTCAAAATCAAACTTCCAAGTTGTAATTTTCTTAAATATTCATGTATTATGCAAAAACATTCCTTTACCTACACGATTAACACTATTATATGACAAATCCAGCTTGTATTATTAAGAAAAACTCGGTTTTACCGCAGCTCTCTCGAGTGGCTCCCATCCGATCGCTTTTCGACCATCTTGTAAATGAAATGGTTGCCAGAATAACATATACACGATTTCTAGTAACTTAGGGAATCAATTGTTTAACACTGTGCGCTACTATACCCATTTTGGTTCTAGTTGCGCACAGTGATAATGTGTAGGATACAATGAAAGTCAGTGGCGGGCAGTTTATCACTGTGCGCTACAATACCCATTTTGGTTCTAGTTGCGCACAGTGATAATGAATAGGATAAAATTCAATTCAGTTGATGGGCAGTGTATCGAATGCATAAGTTCACCTCATGCTCAAAATCAAACTTACAAGTTGTTACGAGTCCTTAAATATTAATGTATTATGCAAAACATGCCTTTAGCTACACGATTTACACTATTATATGACAATTCCAGCTTGTACCGTATTATTAATTTAAAAAATCCGGTTTTACCGCAGCTCTCTTGAGTCGTTCCCATCCGATCGCTTCTCGGCAGTCTATCGTTATGCGCTGCTACACCAATTTTGGTTGTAGTTGCGCACAGTGATAATGAATAAGATACAATTAAAGTCAGTGGCGGGCAGTTTATCACTGTGCGCAACTATACACATTTTGGATCTAGTTGCGCACAGTGATAATGTATAGGATACAATTGAAATTAGTGCTGTGCGGGGAAGAAAAAGTTATGTATTTTTATGATATATTAGAAGACACTAAAATCTATTAAATACCGGTAAGCCTTTGAAATTTTCGTAATTTCCGGGATTTCAATCAATTCCAGAAACTTTGAGCGACACCCGGCCACGCCGCCCACTTACGCTCTCGTTGCCCACCCCGTCGGAGACATCGTACCTCCATCAGCCAAACCCTGCCGCTACCGGTCCCGTTCAGTGGAGGGGGAGGGCGGGGAAAAAAAGTTATGTATTTTTATTATATATTAGATGAAGATACTAAAATCGATTAAATAAGCCTTTGAAATTTTCGTAATTTCGCTACCGGCCCCGTTCAGAAATAAAATGAATTCACTTAGTTTTGTATTGATGCTCTTAACTTCGTCATGAACGGAAGGAAACTGTTTGAAATAGCATATATACCACCAGTTGGCATTACTGCAAATTGCCTAGTAACAGTGAATTAGAGTGAGAAACGTTCCCACACAAGTAGGTTCCAACGATCAGGAAAAGCATGGGAGATGCAGACACAAGGTCAGTCACATATACATAGTCTTAAGCTTGGTTCACATCGGTTATTGTCGACATAAGTAGATAAACTATTGAACAGCGCTACACTCCTAATTGCGTTCGATGGTCCGATTATGTCGAGATACCTTGCTGCACCAACTACGACCAAACAGGAAGTACAATTGCATCGGGTGTGGGCATTTTTTTTTTTTTTTTTCGCGGGAGCCGATCAGCCATCATAACCTTTTCTCCACTTACATGCGGTTGACAATCTATAATAGTGCTGTGTTGTGAAAAGAATTTCTTTTAGTGCATGGTAATGGGGGCAAGACGCTTTACTGGGATCGTCGGATATTGTAATACCCTTTCCAGTCCCCCGAATGTAGACGTCCCGAACAGCTTTAAATTCAGCTCGTAAGTTTTTCAACTTGGTCACGAGAGCGGCGGTTGTGATCCCGGTGTGACCAAGATCACGCATTCGTACAGCCATTTGCTCAATAAGATCGCATTCTTCTTCATAAGTCCAACAATGTCGCTTTTGGCGTACTTTCTCGGTCATAATTGATATAAAGATCTAAGCTAGGCCTACACTGAAAAACCTTCTCTCTCGAACGATCAAAATAAACTAACAAACAATTAGCAAGCTTGCTAAGGGTCAACCGGCTTCGTTCTGATTGGTGTATTCGTGACATGAGGCCACCCGTGGTGCGTTATCAACTCGACGATGACTGGATTTACAAGTTAGTCGAGCTAACAGCCATCGTCGAGTTATGAACTTTATCTCGCCGTAATTGACCGTTCACGTCGAAACTATTGTCGACATCAAGTAGATAATCTAGTCGACATAGTTCGATGTGAACGAGGCTTTAATCTTTAAACGCCGCCAACTCAGGAATGTAGACGCGCTTGAATTTTATCCTATTCATTATCACTGTGCGCAATTAGAACCAAAATGGGTATTGTAGCGCACAGTGATAAACTGCCCGTCACTGACTTTCATTGTATACATTATCACTGTGCGCAACTATAGAACCAAAATGGTTATAGTAGCGCACAGTGATTATCACTGTGCGCAACTAGAACCAAAATGGGTATAGTAGCGCACAGTGTTAACAATTGATTCCCTAAGTTACTAGAAATCGTATATATGTGATTCTGGCAACCATTTCATTTACAAGATGGCCGAAAAGCGATCGGATGGGAGCCACTCGAGAGAGCTGTGGTAAAACCGAATTTTTCTTAATAATACAAGCTGGATTTGTCATATAATAGTGTTAATCGTGTAGGTAAAGGAATGTTTTTGCATAATACATGAATATTTAAGAAAATTACAACTTGGAAGTTTGATTTTGAGGATGAGGTGAACCTATGCATTAGCTCATGCATTGGAGGTGACCTGCCTGCTGCAGTGATATTCTGATTTTAAATCATTGTCCTGTACATTACTGTACATAATTAAAAAGCGACATCAAAAACAAGAATTTTCCCTAGGGTGCTCTTATCTCGATCCCTCACCCCGACCTTTCCAACATCTCTTGATCCGTGTCCCTATAAAATTCCTAATTTTCCTATTATGAACAAGTACGCATACAATAATTACAAGAGAGCGTGACACAGTTTCAATCCAATTTTGTTATTAATATACAAAAACACTGTAGTATATTTCGGTTTAAGCACCAAGGTTTTTAACAA